ACAAATGCATACAAAGTCAAAATTGAGAAGACAGCAACAGACAGTAAGTGCCGCCTATGCAAAGAAGCTGAAGAAACAGTGGACCACTTGGTAAGCTGTTGCAAGAAGATTGCACAGACTGACTACAAGCAGCGGCATGACAAAGTAGCAACAATGGTGCATTGGAAGATCTGCAAAAAATATCATTTGCCTGTAAGCAAAAACTGGTGAGATCATAAAATAGAGAAAGTCATAGAAAATGATAAAATTAAACTGCTCTGGGACTTCAGAATTCAAACAGACAAGCACCTGCAACATAACACCCCAGACTTAACAATTGTCGATAAGAAAGACAAAAAAGTCTGGATAGTGGATGTGGCAGTGCCTGGAGACAGCAGAATAGAAGAGAAAGAACTGGAGAAGATAACAAAATACAAAGACCTACAAATAGAAATAGAAAGACTGTGGCAAAAGCAAGCAAGGGTAGTACCAATAGTCATAGGCTCCTTGGGTGCAATCCCAAAACAACTGGAGCACCACTTGAACACCATTGGCATTGACAAATTCGCTATTAGTCAATTGCAAAAGGCAGCCTTACTAGGAACTGCTTCCATCCTGCGACGATATCTGTAATACCATAAAACATCCACATCTGCCTATCCCAGGTCCTGGGTAAGGACTCGATAGGTAGACAAAATGCCAAATCCAGTCTGAACATCTGGCTGACTGTGCGATGATCAATAATAATAATAATAATAATAATAATAATAATAATAATAATAGTAATAATAAAGTTGGAAGGGGCCTTGGAGGTCATCTAGTCCAACCCCCTGTTCAGGCAGGAAACCCTATACCATTTCGGACAAATGGCTGTCCAGTCGCTTCCTAAAAACTTCCAGTGTTGGAGCATTCACTGCTTCTGGAGGCAGGTTGTTCCACTGGTTAATTTTTTTTTTATCTTGAAAATTTTTATTTTTTTAAAAACATACAATCATTTATAAAAATACAATAAAATTTTAAAATAGAGAACCCCCCCCTTACCCTCCCTCCCACCCCCACCCCCCCTCCCTTCACTTCCCAGAGCAGAATACAGGGTTAAGAAAAAAAAAGAAAAAGAAAATTATAATAATTAAAAAAAAGAAAAAAAAAGAGAAAGAAAAAAAATATCATAATTAACCTTTAACTCCATAACTTATAAAACAATTCTCTATAATATTTGATATTCATTCATAAAATAAATAAAACTTTTTAATTCCATATTTTTTCTGAATATAATCTATCCACCTTCCCCATACAGTAATATATCTTTCTTGTGTATGATCCTTTAAATAAGCAGAAATTTTTGCCATTTCTGCAAAACTAGATACTTTAAATATCCATTCTTCTAAAGTAGGCAAAGAATCTTTCTTCCAATATAGACCTACTAGTAACCTTGCTGCAGTTAATAAATTCAACATCAAAGTAGTTTCTTTTTCATTTAAGTCAACAAAAATAACAAGTAAAAATAGTTGAGGAGTAAACTTTATCTTTTTTCTAAAAATCTTTTGAATGTTCCACCAAATCATAATCCAAAAAGCCTTTACTTTTTTACAATTCCACCAAATATGAAAGTATGTCGCATCATTATTGCCACATCTCCAACATTTGGGCTGTATGTTGGAATACATACAAGATAATTTTTTAGGATCTAAATGCCATCTATAAAACATTTTATAAAAATTTTCTCTCAAATTTTGAGCTTGTGTAAATTTAACATTTCTTATCCAAATTATCTCCCATAAATCCAATGAGATCGGCTCCTGTATATTCTGAGCCCATTTAATCATACAATCTTTAACCAATTCTGTTTCCAAATCTAACTCTAATAAAACATTATATATTCTTTTTATATGAGCCGGACCTTGGTTTTTAATCTGAATAACCAATTGTCTATCTTCTAGTGTTATTCCCTCTTTCTTGTCTACAGTCCATCTATCCATTATTTGTAAATATTGAAACCATGACTGTAGAATATTTTGCTGCCTTAATACATCTAGGGATTTCAAATGCCAATTCGAACCAGAACAAATTAACAATTCTTTATATGAAATTTTATCAAAATTTGTCCCCTTAGAGGTTCCCTCAATTGCATGTCTGGGAATCCCCCAGATAGGTATTTTATAATTTAATCTATAATAATACTTCTTCCAAACACGAAGTAAGGCATTCCTCAAAATATGTGATTTAAAAGTCCGATCAACTTTCTTATTAAAAATTAAATATGCATGCCAACCGTATATTAAATCCCAACCTTCCAAAAAAAGAATATCCATATTTGTTAAATTAAGCCAATCACTTAACCAAGTTAGGGCGGCTGCATCATAATATAATTTCAAATTGGGTGCCTTAAGTCCCCCTCTTTCTCGAGCATCCTGTAATATCTTAAATTTAACCCTTGGTTTCTTCCCGGCCCATATAAAATTATTGATACCCTTTTGCCATTCCTCCAAATTTGCCTCTTTTTTAAGAATAGGTATCATCTGAAACAAAAAAAGAAACTTTGGTAGAACATTCATTTTTACAGCTGAAATTCTCCCCAACAATGACAATTGCAATTTTTTCCAATCTATTAAATCCTTTTGGACTTTTGCCCATAGTGGTTCATAATTGTTCTTGTACAATTTTCCATTTGAAGCAGTTAGATATACTCCCAAGTATTTAACCTTTTTTACCATCTGAAAACCTGTGGCTTTAATCAAACTTTCCATTTCTTTAACTGACATATTCTTAGATAATATCTTAGTCTTATAATTATTAACTTTAAAACCAGAAACATTCCCATACTGTGTTATAAGTTCTAATAAACCATCAATCGCCTGATTCGGCTGTTCCAAAATTAAAACCAAATCATCCGCAAATGCCCGCAATTTATACTCATTCTTCCTTATCTTTACACCCTTAACTAACTTCGATTCCCGAATCTGAATCAATAAAATTTCCAATGTTAAAACAAATAACAATGGGGATAATGGACATCCTTGTCTTGTCCCTTTTTGAATATTGAAATTCTCAGTCAATCCCCCATTTACAACAATTTGTGCAGATTGCTGCTGATATATAGCTTTAAGTGCATGTAAAAAATTATCCCCAAAATTCATTTTCTCTACCAAAGAAAATAAAAATTGCCAGTCCAATTGATCAAAAGCTTTTTCAGCGTCCAAAAAGATAAAAGCCACAGGAATCTGATTATTCTTATCCAAGTACTCAATTAAGTTAATAATTTGTCTAACATTATGTTTCATATATCTCCCTGTTATAAATCCTGCTTGATCACTATGAATCAAGTCTTTCATAACCTGCATTAATCTATTTGCCAAAATTTTTGTAAAGATCTTATAATCAACATTCAATAATGAAATTGGCCTATAATTCTTAGGCTCTGTAAGATCTTGATCTTCCTTCGGAATCAGTGATATAAAAGCTCTTTTCCAAGAAGGAGGAACTTGCATACCCAACAAAATACTATTAAAGAGTTCCTTTAGTGGCTCTATCATTTCTTCAGATAAAATCTTATAATACCTAGACTGGTTAATTGTTCTAACTGTCAGGAAGTTTCTCCTTAGTTCTAGATTGCTTCTCTCCTTGATTAGTTTCCATCCGTTGCTTCTTGTCCTGCCCTCAGGCACTTTGGAGAATAGGCTGACTCCCTCTTCTTTGTGGCAGCCCCTGAGATATTGGAACATCGCTATTATGTCCCCCCTCATCCTTCTCTTCATTAAACTAGACATACCCAATTCCAGCAGCTGTTCCTTATATGCTTTAGCCTCCAGTCCCCTAATCATCTTTGTTGCTCTTCTCTGTACTCTTTCTAGAGTCTCAACATCTTTTTTACATCGCGATTACCAAAACTGCAGTATTCCAAGTGTGGCTTTACCAAGGCATTGTAAAGTGGTATTAACACTTCACGTGATCTTGATTCTATCCCTCTGTTAATGCAGCCTAGCACTGTGTTGGCCTTTATTGGCAGCCAGTGATTGCTTGGTTCATGTTGCTTCATGCCAAAAAGAGAGACAAAGAGCTATTTATATCTTAGGTATTCAAATTTTGTTCCTTTTGATAGAATGTTTATTAAGTGTAGCAATTGAGGAATGAAACCAGTCATCTTGGTTATTTTTTTGAAGTGATATATGATAGAAAATGTTGAATTTTGTGAAAGTTTTTCTCAGATTGATTCTCTATATGTTGTCTATTATTCCTCGCATTACATCCACCAGGCAAGATACTGGTTTCAGTATAGTTCATGGCTTGTCTCTTTGTACTATGTGTGCATGTATGTGAGTATGTGTGCATTGATCTCTAAAAGGAATAGGGCTTGGGTTGGATACCATCTGGCCAGTTTTGACTCACTGCAGACATCATTGTTTTTTTTTTTTTTGTGCATCATTGTTTTTTTACTATTTATTTGGAGGAAAAATAAACCTCCTTTAATTGAATTATGTTCCAAAAGAATTGATCCTATGTATACAATATATTTGCTATCAGTGAACTGATTTCAATCTTAACTTTTGTAGTATTAAGAGAAAGGTGTTTTTAGCAATAGGTTCTTTTAAGCATTAGAATTGTAGATAATGAAACCCAAGAACCTATATATTTACTAAATGTGTGTTTATGGGATTAGATAATCAAGGCTAATGAAAGCCACAAACAGATTTAAATATTATCTTTCTTCCATTCCCCATGTAATCAAGGGTAGGACATAGAAATCTAAATATGGTCAAAGAACATCAATTAGAAGCAAAATAGAAACCAGTATTTTAGGCCATAATTTTGAGAGATTCCTTTAATTTCCTGTCTCTCTAGCTAGATTCTTGGTGATAAAATAATATGGTTATTTTATCTATTGTTTCTTTGGGTATCTTTCTCTTAACCCTACAATCTGTGTACTGCAAATAGTATTTCAGAATAATTATTATCTTGCTTTCAGTGCATAAACATGTTTAGAAGCCTGTTGAAAACTAGTATTTTTTTAAATCTTTGCTTAGGAAAGAGGAGTTGCCTCTGTCTTTGGCCATTCCCTTAACAACTAATTCCACTTACTATAGCACCTCTGCACCCAAGGCAGAACTTCTGATTAAGATGAAGGATATGCAGCAGCAGCAGCAACAGCAAAGTGAGGAAGATTCTGAAAATGAGTTAGACCACAATTTGTCTGAGAAGAAGGTAAGTTTATCATGAGATTTTGTTTTCAGTGTTACTTATTATTGGAAGCCATGGTCTTGAGCTGTCTAGTGGTTCTGTCTCAGTGTCTGTTCAGCTGAAATAAAATGTGATCACACCAAAAATTAAGAGGAAGAAACAGTGCTTAGTATCCAATATCCACAAAGTAAAAGAGAGAAGCTCCTATTGAAAGGAACAAAAAAGTAAAGTGATAGCATTAATATCTCTTCAGAATATAGAATAATTTACTAGTACTATACTTAGTAGGACATAGTATCCTTAGATTTCAGTAAGCCATTTGATAAAGTAGACCACAACCTACTCCTTGGTAAGCTAGAAAAAGATGGAATAGACAACATCACCACCAGATGGATCTGTAGCTGGCTAGCAAACCGTACTCAACGAGTAGTTCTCAATGGCACTACATCCACATGGAGAGAAGTAAGCAATGGGGTACCACAAGTTTCCGTCTTAAGCCAAGTACTCTTCAATATCTTCATCAATGACTTAGATGAGGGAATTGAAGGGGAACTCATCAAATCTGCAGATGACACCAAACTGGCAGGAAGTAGCCAACACCCAGGAAGACAAACTCAGGATCCATAATATAATAATAATAATAATAATAATAATAATAATAACAACAACAACAACAACATCAAGCACACTGAAGTCAAGAAAAAGATTAGAGGTGAATACATCAAGAGAGTGAAGAAGATCTTAAAGTCCAAACTCAATGGAGGAAATACCATAAAGGCAATCAACACCTGGGCAATCCCAGTCATTAGGTACACAGCTGGAATAGTGGACTGGACTCAAGCAGAACTAAAAGCAATGGATAGGCAGACCAGAAAAATAATGACAATGAATCATGCCCTTCATCCACGCAGTGACATTGACAGACTTTATCTACCAAGGCAAATAGGTGGGCATGGAATGCTACAAGTACATCAGATGGTTGAAGAAGAAAAAATGGCTTTGGAAGAATATCTGAAGAACAATGATGAAGATGCACTGAAATTAGTATATCAGGAAGGCTTACTGACTACTGGAGAGACCAAACTGGCCTACAAGAAAGACCAAATGAAGAACAGAATAGAGGCATGGGAAGACAAAGCACTACATGGCCAATACATAAAAAAATAGCTGGGAAAGCAGATAATAATAAAACCTGGCAATGGCTAAGAGCAGGAAAATTGAAGAAAGAGACCGAGGGACTAATTCTGGCTGCAAAAGACCAAGCCTTAAGGACAAATGCATATAAAGTCAAAATTGAGAAGACAGCAACAGACAGTAAGTGCCGCCTATGCAAAGAAGCTGAAGAAACAGTGGACCACCTGGTAAGCTGTTGCAAGAAGATTGCACAGACTGACTACAAGCAGCGGCATGACAAAGTAGCAACAATGGTGCATTGGAAGATCTGCAAAAAATATCATTTGCCTGTAACAAAAACTGGTGGGATCATAAAATAGAGAAAGTCATAGAAAATGATAAAATTAAACTGCTCTGGGACTTCAGAATTCAAACAGACAAGCACCTGCAACATAACACCCCAGACTTAACAATTGTCGATAAGAAAGACAAAAAAGTCTGGATAGTGGACGTGGCAGTGCCTGGAGACAGCAGAATAGAAGAGAAAGAACTGGAGAAGATAACAAAATACAAAGACCTACAAATAGAAATAGAAAGACTGTGGCAAAAGCAAGCAAGGGTAGTACCAATAGTCATAGGCTCCTTGGGTGCAATCCCAAAACAACTGGAGCACCACTTGAACACCATTGGCATTGACAAATTCGCTATTAGTCAATTGCAAAAGGCGGCCTTATTAGGAACTGCTTCTATCCTGCGACGATATCTGTAATACCGTCAAACATCAACATCTGCCTATCCCAGGTCCTGGGTAAGGACTCGATAGATAGACAAAATGCCAAATCCAGTCTGAACATCTGGCTGACTGTGCGATGATCCATAATAATAATAATAATAAAATGTTAGAAGGGACTTTGGAGGTCATCGAGTCCAATCCCCTGCTCAGGAAGGCAGGAAACCCTACAACATTTCAGACAGATGGCTGTCCAGTTTCTTCTTAAAAACTTCCAGTGTTGGAGCATTCACCGCTTCTGGAGGAAGGTTGTTCCCTTGGTTAATTGTTCTAACTGTCAGGAAGTTTCTCCTTAGTTCTAGGTTGCTTCTCTCCTTAATTAGTTTCCACCTGTTTCTTCTTGTCCTGCCCTCAGGCACTTTGGAGAATAGCCTGACTCCCTCTTCTTTGTGGCAGCCGCTGAGATATTGGAACATTGCTATTATGTCCCCCCTCGTCCTTCTCTTTGTTAAACTAGACATACCCAATTCCAGCAACTGTTCCTCATATGTTTTAGCCTCCAGTCCCCTAATCATCTTTGTTGCTCTTCTCTGTTATCTTTCTAGAGTCTCAGCATCTTTTTTACATCGTGGTGACCAAAACTGGATGCAGTATACAATTACCAAGGCATTGTAAAGTGATATTAATACTTCATGTGATCTTGATTCTATCCCTCTGTTAATGCAGCCCAGCACTGAGTTGGCTTTTTTGGCAGCTGCAGCACACTGCTGGCTCATATTTAAGTGATTGTCCACTAGGACTCCCAAATCCCTCTCACAGTTACTACTATTGAGCAAGGTACCCCCTATACCAGTGATGGCAAACCTTTTAAAGACCGAGTGCTCAAACTGCAACCCAAAACCCACTTATGCATCGTCGGGTGCTGGGTGGGTGTGACCCATTGGGTGGGTGTGGCTATGGTGGTAATGGCAAACTGGGTGGGACTAAAAAGTTCAATCAATCAGTTCCAACTTTGCAAGATCTTTTTTTCCCGTGAGAAGTTGAAATTGACTGATTGATTGAACCTTTTTTTTTTTTTTTTTTGCACATGGTGGCAGAGCCTAAAGCAAAAAGGTTTTATAAAATCCAGCTGAAGGCCTAGGACTGGGGCGATGGCATGCGTGCCCATAGAGAGGGCTCTGAGTGCTGCCTCTGGCACCTGTGCCATAGGTTCGCCACCACTGCTCTATACTATACCTGTACAAACTTAAAAAATGGGCCCTGTCCAACAAAATGAGTTTCAATGTGGAGAAAAGCAAAGTTGTACATTTAGGCACGAAAAATCAAAGGTACAAGTACAGATTGGGCAAGACCTGGCTTAAAAACAGTAACTGTGAGAGGGACCTTGGAGTCCTAGTGGACGATCACTTGACTATGAGCCAGTAATGTGCAGCAGTAGCTAAAAAACTAATACAATCCTGGGTTGTATAAACAGAGGCATGGAATCAAGATCACATGAAATATTAGTACTGCTTTATAAAACCCTAGTAAGATCACACCTGGAATACTGCAGCCAATTTTGGTCACCATATCACAAAAAAGATGTTGAGAGTTTGGAAAAAAAATTCAGAGAAAAGCAACTAAGATGATGAAAGGCCTGGAAACTAAAACAAAGAACAGCTGCAGGACTTGGGTTTGGCTATTCTAAAGAAAAGAAGAAATAGGGGAGACATGATAGCAGTATTCAAGTATTTGAGGGGCTGCCACAAAGAAGAGGGGGTCACATTATTCATCAAAGCATCAGAGGGCAGGACAAGAAACAATGGTTGGAAACTGATCAAAGAGAGAAGCAACATGGAACTAAGGAGAAACTTCCTGATAGTGAGGACAATTAACCAGTGGAACAGCAGAAATTGTGGCTGCTCCATCATTGGAGATTTTTAAGAAGAGGCTAGACAGTCACTTGTCTGAGATGGTATAGGTCCTCCTGCTTGAGCAGGAGGCTGGACTAGAAGACCTCCAAGGTCCCTTCCAGCTTTATTCTATTGTATTGTACTATGCTTATAATTGTTATGTGCTTAGAGCTTAAAGCATTGTTAGAGACCCCACACATCCACTTTACGGTCTGTTTCTGTTGCTCCCCTCTGGGAGGAGGTTTCGAAGTATTTCTAGCAGGACTGCCCAATTCTATAATAGCTTTGTTCCCTATGCCATCCATCTTGTAAACTCGTAAGATTTGTTTTTCTCGACATGCGCATGTATACATAACCCGAACAAGACTGTTGTTTCTCTGTGTCATATAATATATGTGGGTATATGCATAATTCTGCATTTATTTATTTATTTTTGTCATATTTATGTAGTGTACATCGGAGGTGGTGACCCATTGAGAACTGGATGCAACAAAATTTCATTTTAATGTATGCCGATTAGTATACATTCAAAGTGACAATAAAGTTATTATTCTATTCTAAAAGATACTTTTTAAAAAAAATATATTGTACATCACTGAATTGCATTAACTTTTAGAATTAAATCCTGTATAAACATAACTGAGAAAAAGTATTATTTAGTTCAACAGCATTTATTTCCCAGTGGACATGTTCAGAATATCAGTTATCTGATATTATCTGAATCAGCACATTTAGCTCAAACTCTGATGTTTGCTCACAGACTACTGTTAAGTACAACTGGTTGATGGACATAAAAAAGAACCTTCTTGGTGATCTTAACTCTAAGCCTATCATTTCAGAACTTCTAAAAGAAAATTCAGCCCTCCTGTTTAAGAACTATATTTATTAATCATTTTAATTTTTACTTAATTTGAAGTTAATGACAACTTCCAAATGAAAATTCTTTAAATTATTGCTGATTTTTATCTTGGCTCCAAATAGGATTATTTACAGATATTTATTCATGATATTTACTTTATTATTAGGTTATGATTTTTATTTATTTAATTTATCAAATTTCTATACCATCCTCCTTATCTAAGTGACTTTGGGCAGTTTACAAATAAAATAATATATAACCCACTTCAAGAGAGATATTATATATAGCTTTAGAGGCAGTATAAATACTTGTGACAAAATAAAAATATTGAAGTCCAAAGTTAAGAAGTGAGATTTCAGGATATCTGAAGGATGACTTAACAGATAACAGAATAATAGTCGAAAGGGACCTTGGATGTCTTCTAGTCCAACTGCCTGCTCAAGCAGGAGACCTTGTACCATTCCAGACAAATGGCTGCCCCATCTCTTAAAAACCTCCAGTGATGGGTTTCCCACAACTTAGACTGGCACTTGAAGATTGTTAGGATTTTGATAAATATAGATCCATATCCATTAACATTTGATTACTGAACTTAATTATGCAACACATAATATTGACAGTGGCAAGAGCAAAGGAATTTTTTTTCTATGTAATCAAGATAAAGTCATTCACAATACTCTTAACAAAATGATTAAAATATACTATAATATCCCTGCCAGATCATAATATGTAACACAATTGTACAAAATATATTCAACTGAGCATTAGAATTTTGGGTTTTAAAACTTCTCTGAGTTTGGTTTTTTATTTGCAGACATTTCCACATCCACTTGGTAATATCTGCTCCTTTTATAACTTTTCATAGTTCTCTTCACATGTGCATAAATCAGGAGAAGACTTGAATAAAAACAGTTGTTATCTTAAAAATAATTTTTGTAAAATAAATATTCCCCATATTAAAAAAATAATAGTGATTCTTCTCAAGTTTTATCTGTTAATATTTCCTATCTTTTAATACAAAGAATATAATTTTGCACAATTTCTGTAATTGTCTGAGATGCTGTGTAGACAGAAGTACAGTTATGTGGGAGTTGCTTTTGATTAGATGATTCTCATGGCTCAGTCTGGTTGTTCACAGTGCTGCTGCCACAAGGTGAGTCAAGGCACATGGGGGAGGGGAGGAGCTGCCCCATGCACCCTGCATCCGCTTGCCTCTGGGCCTCGCAACCAGGCCTCCCATACCCCGATACCTGCCTCGCCTTGGGGCAGTGGCAGCAACAGCCCCATCCTGCAGGACCCACGTGACCATTGCCGGCTCACATTTTCTGTGGCCACTAGCCGTAGCTCACACGCATCACACACCCCCCCCGGCCTCTGTTTCGCTGGCAGAGGTCTTTTCCTGAAGGCCTCTGCCAGAGAAATGGAAGCCAGGAGGTGACACGTGCATCAACCCAGGGCTCCATTATGGGCTGAAGAGGCTTTCCCTGAAGGCTTCTGATGGCAAAATGGAGGCCAGGGGGCAACATATGAGCGGTGGCAAGTGGCTGCAGAAGAAGTGGGCTGGCAGTGGCTATGCAGGCTCCTGCTAGACAGGGCCATAAGGCAAGACAGTGGAAAAAATAAGACACCCCCTGAAAATAAGACCTAATGCCTTTTTGGGAGGAAAAAAATATATATGAGACCAGGTCTTATTTTCAGGGAAACATGGTGTATATATAGTGATAACGGGATAACATAACATGTTCTGCTACTTTTAAGGAGTGTTTTTTTCAGTTGGACATCCCAATTCTCTTCCTTCAATTCTGTTATAATTTACATTGATTTGAGGGCACTTTTGTTTTTGTTTTGTGGACTATTGTTACATCAAACTATGATAGAGAAACATTTATGCAAATGCAATAAGATCAATATTACTTCTGTTATTCTCTCATTTACTTTTCCCAACCTATTCTATTATATCCATATTTCCCATTCCTACAATATACTTTTCCAGCTTTACTGAAGATCAAATCACTGGAAGAAAAAATCCAGCTTGCATTTTTATGTTTTTGCCACTAAAATTCTTTCTTATTTAGCTTACAGTTATTTATTCCTTGTCTTTTCTTAATCCCAAATCAGAAAATGCTTACAGCATGCCTTTATAACCATTCCAGTAAGAGAATATTAACAGCTGCTCTAACTATTTGAAATGACCGTATTTTGCTTGCATTGCTTTCATTTTTCTGAATAACAAAAATATATAGACTACTTTGGCAAGATTCTGTTATCTTGTGGTTTCATCATCTAGCCATTTAGAGTCATGAGATGAGTAGCCATATAAACCTAATAATTAATTGTATCTCATAAATTGAGCTCCTCTCTCTCTCTCTCTCTCTCTCTTTTTTTTCAGCAAGAGCTTATAGATAGCATTAGTCGAAAACTAAAAGTGCTAAAAGAAGCTCGAGAGACACTCTTGGAAGACATTCAAGCCAATAATCATCTTGGAGATGAAGTGGAGATAGTTGTAAAGGAGGTCTGCAAATCCAATGAATTTGATAAGTTTCGGATGTTTATTGGAGATCTAGACAAAGTGGTTAATCTCCTGCTATCACTCTCTGGTCGACTTGCCAGAGTAGAAAATGCATTAAACAACTTGGATGAAAATGCTTCTCCTGAAGAAAGAGTAAGGCATTTGTATTGTCATATGAGGAAGAACTGTCTAATTGCACCATGTTATTTTGTTTTTGCCAACTCAAGTGTATATGTATATATATACATATATATATATATATATACATATACATATATATACATATACTATATAATACATACACACACACACACACACACACAATATATATATATATATATATATATATATATATATATATATATATATATATATTCACGATTAAAAAGGTTAAAAATGTGAACCCTAGGGATATTCATAATAAAATATAAAAATGAACACTAGGGTAATAAAAACTAAAGAAGTTTTTAATGGGTTAAAACTATAAAAGTTTTAAAAAGCGCCAAGCTTTCGCCGTCACCTGCCGGCATCCTCAGGGCTGGCGTGCCAGAGAATGAGAAGGTCTTTTTATAGGCGTGCCGAGGTTTGCACTCGGCTCCTTGATCTTGTTATGGGGCCTGATTGGTTCAGCCGTGTGTAGTTGGCCTGCGCTTTTTTTCTCTTCTTAGTTGTATTTTTATCCTCGTCCGTCTCCAGTTCTCCCAACCTCAGATTAGCTGAATGGCAATTCCAGTTATTTCGGTTGCTTTCATGTTCCGATCTCCCCTCAGGCTTGGGTGGTGGTGGACGTTCCAAGTTCCTTTCTCCGCCCCGTTCTGTCCGGTTGCTACTTTTAGAGTCCCATATATTTCCGGTCTCAATGCTTTCGGTTTTAATATGTTTATCATCCTGGTAATCCCGTAAATTGTTACGAGTCTGGTATAGCGTGGGGGGGTATTCCGCATGGTGGAGGGGTCGTCTCTTGTTCGTTGTCATGCCCAGCTGTCTCGCACGTGTCTTACTCCGAGTGCTCAATCCTGGGGGTGTGTGCATAGTCATCGGGGCGCGTCCCTCCTGGTTACCGTGTTCTTCCTTAGTTCTCCCCTTTTTTACCTTGTTGGAAGCGCTCGCGTATGTTCTATGGGAGTCCTCAGGATCGTCAGGTAGGGGGTATGACAGCTCGATCTCTCGCCCCCTGCCGCTCTCCGACTTTCCTTCCTCCTCTCCAACGGTATGTAGGGGTTCATCATCAACCACCTCCCATGGTTTGTCCTCATAGGAGCTGATCGTTCCAGCTACATGGGGAGGTTTTCTCCTCCTTTCCCGACCAGCTGCGATGTTTCTTTTGGTGTGTGGGCAGGCCATTGCGTTTGGTGATTCCTCCGCATTTCCACCTGCCGTATCTTCCCTCATCTCCTCTTTGTAGCCGGGGGTCCGGACCTTGGTTCTTGTCCCTCCCCTGATCTTCTGGGATTGCGGCAGTCCCGCGGGGATGGTCAAGGTGCCTCGCGTTTGCTTCCTTTCTTTCGAATTGCACCTGGTTCGTTGGGCGGTGCGGGTGCTACCCAGATTGTTATCAAGCCGTCGGGGGTGTTGCCGCCGATTATTGGCACTCCATGATCTTAAGGCTAAATAGGATGGGCATAGGTCAATGTGCCTATTAATAGACTTACTGTCTGAGAGCCATGCTTCTCTAAGAAGGCGGCCCCCTTTGGTGTTATCATTTGCCAATACACTGACGTCACTAAAGTTAAACTTATGGCCTAGATCCACCATATGGGCCCATATTTGGGAGTGACAGTCTCTCCTTCTCACTGCTAATTCGTGCTCATGGACCCTGGTCTTAATGCGTTTAGCAGTCTCCCCAGTATAATTACATTGGCAGTCCGTACAGTCAATCCTATAGACGGCTGCTGATCTTTCGGTGCTGGGGAGCGGGTCCTTAGGGCGCATTATGGCCGCTCGCAGTGTTTGGTTGGGTCTATGGGCCACCTGTATTTTGTGTGGTGCCAGGATCCTAGCTGTGGCTTCCGATACGTTATGGATATAGGGGAGGGCAATACGTGTGGTGGCTTGAGGCACGGATTCTTGAGATGCAGGGTTACTCCGGAGTCCAGGTGGTCTCCTGAACTGATTAATGATTTTAACCGGGTAGCCGTTGCCTCTACATGTTCGGAAGAGGTGGTTTCTCTCTTCTTTTTTGGCTTTGACGGTGCTGCAGTGTGTCTCCACTCGTTTGAATAGCGTCCTGACACAACTGGCTTTATGGGCCATCGGGTGATTACTCCTAAAGTGGAGAATCCTCTCTGTACACGTTGGTTTTCGGTATACCCTGGTAGCTAGACATCCATCCACCTGGCGCTGCACTAGTACATCCAAAAATGCTAGACTGCCCTGATCTTCTTCCTCCATGGTGAATTGGATGTCCGGGTATACCGAATTCAGGATGCCCATAAATTCAGTTTTGTGTCTTTTCTTAATGACCGCAAACGTATCGTCCACATAGCGGGCCCAAAATTTTGGTTGGTATTGGGCCATCGCTATGTGTTCCAGCTGCTGGAGTACCATCTCTGCAACCACACTAGAGATCGGCGACCCCATAGGTGTTCCTTTAATTTGCTCATATATAACCCCCTGGAAGGTGAAGTAGGTGTTAAGACATATTTCCATGAGCTTTACCAAGTCCTCCGTTTGAAGGGAGTCCTGGTGTTGCCCATGGTCTCCTTGGTTAAGCCGGTCTCTTAGGACCTCAACCACAAGTTTCTGCGGGATGGACGTAAATAAAGAAACTACGTCAAAGGAGACCATGAGCTCATCCTCTTCTACCTTCAGGGTTTTTATTCTATTGAGGAATTCTTCTGCCGATCTTACGGTGGTGTCGCTGTTACTTGCCAAGTGGCCGATGCGAACGCTCAGCCACTTGGCAAGTTCAGAGATGGGGGTACCCCTAAATGCTACGATGGGGCGGAGGGGGACATTGGGCTTATGTATCTTAGGTAAGCCATAGAATCTAGCGAGTGCTGAGTCACCAGGACGGATCCTTCTCAGCACTTCTTCCCCCATCCTCCCCTTACGTTTGAGGTCATCAAGGAGCTTGTTAGTACGGTTTCTCAAAGTGGTGGAGGGATCTTTACTAACCACTCTATAGGCAGCACCGTCTTGGAGTAAATCCAATGCCTTTCTTACGTATGCCTCTTTGTCTAAAACGACAGTTGCCCTCCCCTTATCGGCTGGGAGGATGACAATGGTGTCATCTTTTCTAAGTTGGCTTAAAGCCACCCTTTCCTCTGCCGATAAAACTTGTTGGTGTCTGTGGCTCATAATTAGGCTCGTGACCTGTTGCCTGATTACATTCTTGGTTTCCTCTCCTATCCCAGTATGGTGTAGGGCGGGCTCTAATGCCGCCACAAAGTCCAGTGTATCCGCATCATTAAGGTTGTGTCCTGCATCTCGTTGCAGTAGGGATAACTGTGGCTGGCTTAACACCCTTGAAGATAGGTTGTGCACCACCCCAGGTAAATTGTTATTACAAGACTCACGTAATGAATTCAGCCTTTTAAGGAATGTTCTTGTCATGTGTTGAGTCGTCCGGGCCATGACTTGCCGAATATGCTGGTTTAGCATATTGAAATGCTGATGGTTTAATTCTGTATTACAGGAGTCTCGATAGCCTTGGATGTCTCTCTTTAAATTGCCTATTCTTCTGTGTTGGTCATTAATTAACGCATATAGTGTGCGTCGTTGGAATTGACGGGCGGCCTGCCAGCATTCCAAGGAGTCTACTGTTGGTTTTCTTCTTAACGAGTTTGGTGTTAGGTTCTCCTTGATACAGCGGTGGAGGAACGCCAGCTTGCAATAATTAGTTGAGATACGCCGTGCTGCCCTTTCCCATTTTCTGGCTCTGAGCAAGACTGCTCTACTATATTCACGATTAAAAAGGTTAAAAATGTGAACCCTAGGGATATTCATAATAAAATATAAAAATGAACACTAGGGTAATAAAAACTAAAGAAGTTTTTAATGGGTTAAAACTATAAAAGTTTTAAAAAGCGCCAAGCTTTCGCCGTCACCTGCCGGCATCCTCAGGGCTGGCGTGCCAGAGAATGAGAAGGTCTTTTTATAGGCGTGCCGAGGTTTGCACTCGGCTCCTTGATCTTGTTATGGGGCCTGATTGGTTCAGCCGTGTGTAGTTGGCCTGCGCTTTTTTTCTCTTCTTAGTTGTATTTTTATCCTCGTCCGTCTCCAGTTCTCCCAACCTCAGATTAGCTGAATGGCAATTCCAGTTATTTCGGTTGCTTTCATGTTCCGATCTCCCCTCAGGCTTGGGTGGTGGTGGACGTTCCAAGTTCCTTTCTCCGCCCCGTTCTGTCCGGTTGCTACTTTTAGAGTCCCATATATTTCCGGTCTCAATGCTTTCGGTTTTAATATGTTTATCATCCTGGTAATCCCGTAAATTGTTACGAGTCTGGTATAGCGTGGGGGGGTATTCCGCATGGTGGAGGGGTCGTCTCTTGTTCGTTGTCATGCCCAGCTGTCTCGCACGTGTCTTACTCCGAGTGCTCAATCCTGGGGGTGTGTGCATAGTCATCGGGGCGCGTCCCTCCTGGTTACCGTGTTCTTCCTTAGTTCTCCCCTTTTTTACCTTGTTGGAAGCGCTCGCGTATGTTCTATGTTCTTATTATATATATATATATATATATATATATATATATATATATATATATATATATATATATATATATATATATATATATACGCATAGGGGCTACAGTAATATATAAATATATATAGGAATATATTTAAAATATATAAATATTTACCCCTTTCCACTTTCAGGTCATTGGGGCTAAAAGCCAAAAGCTGGAACCTGACTTTTGGCTGCTTTTTGGCTCTTTTTTGTACCGGGGGCCGACCAGGTGTTGTTACTCTCCTTGCACTTCCTTCTATCGTTCCTCCGGATCACTCCTCCCACTCCTCCACTGCTAGCACCCATCTCCTCCAAAACCCCTTCATCCTTCTTTCCTCCCATAATATTAACTCTCATCCCCTTCCCCTTTTCATTGTCCACCCTGGGGGGATCCGGTTCTCCTCTGTCGGCAATACCAAGGTCCCTTCCAACTCTGTTGTTGTTGTTGTTGTTGTTGTTGTTGTTGTAATGGAGCAGAACAACAACAATCATTACAAGATCATTTTCCTGAAGACACAATTTAATTAGAGCTTGTAGAACTCTAAGAATAAAAAGACTCTCATAGCAGATAGTAAATTAAATCTTCATCAACCTTTTTGAGACGTGGGAGTGCTGCCATCAATTATACAATATATGTGTTACAATGTTCTACCAAATAATAAAATTCAGAAAGCTGCTTTGTCATTTTATTATTTGCTTGGGAAGCATGTAGGTCTTCCTAAGATGTTTCCTTTAAAACAATGATAGGAGAACGTTCATTATGGAAAAGAATATAAAGCTAAATGTATTAATCACTACAATTTCCCTGTTCTGTTCCCTTAGCAGATTCTAGTAGAAAAACAGAAATTACTCACACAGCAACATGAAGATGCAAAGGAGCTGAAAGAAAACCTGGATCGAAGGGAACGGATTGTCTTTGATATTCTGGCCAGCTATCTTAGTGATGAAAGCCTTGCTGATTATAAGCACTTTGTCAAAATGAAATCAGCCCTCATAATAGAACAGCGAGAGCTAGAGGACAAAATCAAACTTGGGGAAGAGCAACTCAAGTGCCTAACTGAAAGTCTCCAGCCTGAAAGGCCCAAATAATGATTCAATAATGGCAATAATCCTCAGACTTTGCTTTACATAGTTTTATTTGCAAACCTTGAAACTTCTTATAGTTTTTTTAAGACACAAAAGAAGTCAATATACATATGAGTACTGTTCCCTGATTCCCCAAAAGGGAATAAGAAAACTGTTAATTTTAGAGATTTTGAGAAAAAGAACTTCTATTAAGCAGACAAAACAACTTTTCCAGCACTATGATTGGGCTGGTGAAATACATTGGCAACATTGTACATTTAGATATAATTTTTAAAAAAGAAATTTTGCATGACATTAGTCCTTTCAGAATTATTTCAAAACCATTTGCAAGTAAGCTTTTAATTATATCCAATTGAACTATTTCAGAATGTACCAGTAAATTGTATATTTCTGTGGCCCTGTGAATTTTAATGTTGTAATGAAATATAACTATAGTTTATTAATTTATCACTTCAGTAGTGATGGCTGTAGCAGGAACAAAAAAGAAGAATCCAAAGGCAGAAGTTTAATTCCAAGAAATTGTCTTAGCTGAATGAAAAATTGAAGAATTGATTCTTATAAGTCTAAATTTGTAATGCAGTACAAAATTAATACGACATTTCATTAGGTACTATTTGCCAGGTTTAGTGAGTCATATATTTGTATGTTGTTCTGCATGCTCTTCATCTGTTTGTTTTCACCTGATGACTTTGCCTTTAATAATCACTGTTTGTCCTGTGACTGTACTATAAGAAGCTCGTTGTTTTACTTAGATTTACAGTTGGACACCTCAATGCTGTGTTTATATTAACAAATAATAAGTTTGATCTTATTTTCCAATTACATGTAGGGACATATTAACACTATAATCTAAAAAATGTTTTTAAAAAGCCCCTTTAAAATCTTTTACATGATAACAATGCAATAACTGTTGGTGTATTTACCAAATTATAAATAATGTTCCTTAATATTAATATATGTTTGTAATGAATAAAGATAATATTATATCTTTTCTATAGAGTATTTTTAAGACTTACTGAAAAATAATTTACTTAATACCTAAAACCTTGAACCATTCTGTACAGTACCCTTTTTTAGAAGTTAAATTAATTACACCATTAAAAAAGAACTTAATTGTGAATCATTTCACAAAAGTAGGTACAATTTCAGCTGTTCTGATTACTCTAGCAATAAAATCGTTAGCTATAGAAGGACTAACCATAACTGATTCCACATAATCATGTATTTCATAAGCAGATATCACTCAATCCTATGCATTTCTATTCAAAAGCAAACCTAGGACTCATGCAACAACACACATGTGTATGGCATTGTAATTATGAGTTCTTGATTGATCTCACAAATATCAATGCAAATTCATACAATTGATGCCATTTCCTTCTATATTGTTAACATTTTAACAGTTTTCCCTAATATTTATATCTGGCAAATTGGCATCATTGTGATATACATTTTCCAGTCCATATTAGACAAATGTTACATTTTGTTTCTGGTTTAATCCTTATATATACACAATATAAAGCACCAGTTTTGTTCCAATCAAATGTAAAGTTTTTTCTTTAACTCTATAAGGAAATAAAAGTTTTCTGTGGTGCTTCAGGTTATATATGTGCACTCAAAATATAACCAGTATGTACACAGTAATTTGCATTATGACATACAGTATAATTCATATGAATTTAGTACATAAATTAATGTATAATTATATTTTACTTTGCATAATAATATTTTTAACCTCTGGTTAAAGCTTGCCAATTTTTTTGTTTGTTTGTTTGGCTGGATCTCTGGAAAGGGCAGGTAAGGGATTCCCTTTTCTATATATATACTTTACAAATATCTCTGTTATTTGTTCTATCTGAAAGAGAATCGGGTGCTAATGTCTTGCTTTGGCATCATGAGTGAAGGATTATTTCTTCACTTTATAGGTTATTATAGTATTTAGATTTTTTGTACAGTAAAAATATATATTTTGATTTTTTCCCCCTGTGGTCCATTTTTTATATTTTACTCCAATTCAAACAGCATATTTCAATTTCTTAATTTTTGCTTAATTATTTACCAACTGAGGTTATATTGTTTTATCAAGAAAAATAAAATAAATATTGTGCTGGGGTATTGAGTGATGTGTTAATTTTAGCCATTATGCATAGCCGTTACAAAATGGGATGTTGCCATTATGAAGAATGTTAATTCTACTTGGATGCTGATTAATTAGCATCAAATTATAAATCCTTAAAATTACTTCCATTTACATTTAAAATCTTTACCAAAGACAGCTTCTACAGTAAAATAAGAGATAAATACAAAAACAATTGGAAAGTTCTAACTTGTACATGCAATATGATAGCAGTATTCACTTTTCTAATATGAGATGACAAATAGATTTTTTTAGAAGACATAGAAAGTTAAATCATTCCTATACAAAGTTCTGCCTCTTATGCCTTATCTTCTTTTCCTTTTTGGAAGAATGACCCAACAATGAATTTTTTGTGTCCACTGAATACATTAAGATCTTATTTATTTTATTTTTTTCCCTTTTACTTAAAAGATATTCTCTCTATATATGGCTTTACATTGTTTTATAATACATATATTAATAAATAAGAATATTTAGCAAAGTATACTGGCTTAATCCAAGAACATGCAGACATTACTTCAATACATGTCTAGGATATCCAGTAAATATCGATCTACGGAGGATGCTATTTCTTCCATTCTCCATCTGAGCTTGAAACACTTAGAGGAAAGAAATATTCATGTGCTCTTTTGTTTGTCAACTTCAGTTCAGCATTTAACATAATCATTCCCCAGCATCTAGTAGACAAACTGGGCCTTTTTGGCTTAAACACTCCTTTGTGCAACTGGATTCTTGATTTTCTTACCAACAGGCCCCAATATGTGCGTGTTGGAACAAATACTTCTAACACTATTTTCTTGAGAACAGGTTCTCCTCAGGGCTGCATCCTAAATCCGCTGCTGTTCACCCTGTTGACCCATGATTGTTGTGCTAGGTTTGCCATATTGTGAAGTTTGCAGATGATACAATAGTAGTGGGCCTTATTCATGATGACAATGAGGGTGCTTACCGCAAGGAGGTTGAGGGGTTGGTGAACTGGTGTAAGGAGATCAGCCTAGTTTTAAATACCAGAAAAACCAAAGAGATCATTGTCAATTTCAGAAAAGGCAGGCACAGCCACACTTCTCTGTGCATTAATGATTCACCTGTGGAGATGGTTACTACCATCAAAGTCCTGGGTGTGCAGTTGTGCTTGGTTGCTCAACAGCGAGACACTGGTGAAACAGGCACAGCAGTGCCAGCATTTTCTGAGTTGCATGAGAAAAGCACATCTTCCTTCCCCTATCCTTACCACTTTCTATAGGGGGATGATCGAGAGCATCCTGTCATACAGCATCACAGTCTGGTTTGGAAGCATCACTGCTTCAGACAGGAAGGTGGTGCAGAGAGTGGTGAGGATGGCTGAAAAGATCATTGGCAGTTCCCTCCCTCCCATCCAGGACATAACACAGAAGCGTTGCTTGAGCAGGGTCCGTAAAATTGTCTGGGACACTGCCCATCCTCTTCACAACCTGTTTTCCTTGTTGCATTCTGGGAGGAGGTTCCGGGTATCCGAAGCAGAAGATGCAGATTCAGCCACAGTTTCATTCCATACAGTATAAACCTTGTGAATTCTCAAGCTTCCTCCTTCCGTTATATATTCAAGATGGACAGTGTTTAATATTCATATGTTATGTACTGTATATGTAGGGATGTAGGTCTATACATATGCTATATATAGTATATTTAGGTGTATGTCATGTATGTGTTCAATTTGAGAGCAGGCAATTAAATTTCATTTTTGATGTGTGTCATTGTGCCCACTGTAAAAAATGACAATAAAGGTTATCTATCTAAAATATGTGAAAATGAGTCTTCTGTTGACTAAGTTGGGCTATTAATTTGGAAAGCTTTTATAATAAAAAAAATCAAGAAAAACAAATAGCAAAGAATTTATTGGTAATTATCTATTTATAAGTTCTCAGTTTTCAAGATCTTTTGGTACATAGCCACTGTGTAGTTTTGCTTAGCTTTCTCTGGCAATTAAAGTCAGAGATAGATAGTTCAAATGATTGTATGTTGGATTACTGAGGAGATCAAGATTCAGTCATGGAATCTCACTGACAGACTTTGGACTAGTTGCTCAGTCACAGTCAAGTTTATCTCACATGATTTGTGGAAATAAAACAGGGAGATCCTGGTGCAGGCTTTCATGGCTTTCAGTATCTGTTGGGCTGTGTTGGACTTCAAGGTTTAGCAACTATGCTGTAGACAACAAGATTCTTGACATTTTGCCAGCAACAGTGGCTGGCATGTTCAGACAAGGTGGACTACTATAAATGCCTGCCATAGTTGCCAGAAAAACTTCAGGAAATCTCTTGTCTAGACCTCAATCTCTAAACCCTGAAGCTCAGCAATGTCCAAGGAGAAATCCCTTTCAGCACCAACACACTGAGAAATATATAAATCCAACACATTAAGAACTGTACCTATTTTCCTATTCTGTTTCTCTTCCTTAAGAGTAAATTACTGGCAAATTGCCTTTTCTTGTCAAAATGAACATTTTGTTCTTTTGTTCATATGACATATTGTGCCCCCAAATAGGCCAGAGCAGATAGGCAGCCTACAAATCTAATTAATTAAAAAGTGTTAAGTTAACTTTTTGATTGTAAAAATATATGGCATGTCTAGAGCAGTGACTCTACATCAGGGGTGTCAAACTGCCGGCCTGTGGACTGGATGTATCATGCCGAAACCGCGCCTACCCCATTGCTGGCAATGGAAAAAAAGTCATGATATGTCGTGACACATCACATTGCGAGTTTGACACCCCTGCTCTACATCTTCAGAAGAGATCATTTAAAGGTCATTTTGTTACAATGTAATCTAGCATGTTGTCATTTCTAAATTGGCCAAATTGACTTCTCTAAGAATCTCTGTTTGCTTGATAGCTATACTTTACTATTTAAAAAGCAATAGAACTAGTACATTTCAGGTTTTCTCCCAGATCACGAAGACATTTTACAATCTGGAGAAGTGTTCCATATAAGCTTCACTAGCATAGAAGTACACAGATAATATCTATTGGTTGTGCAAAATTTGGACTACTCAGACAGGATGATATTGCTATCCTTTTTTCATATTTGAGTAATATGTAAGATGAAAATGGGTGTTCTGATACTTTCAAGCTGGCTTGAGTCTAGATATTTTCTTAAGACTAATATCAATGATATCAATATCAATAGAACAGTTGCTCTGTTCAGTTATTCGCATAGGAAGACATTTGAAATGTCTAGATGCATGCTTGTATTACTACCATGTTTCCCAAAAAATAAGCCCTTCCCCTGAATAAGAACTACTCTGATTTTTTGGGAGGGCTAATATAAGCCCTACCCAAAAATAAGCCCTAGTTGGGACCCTGCCCACTCCATCCCACCTCACTGCCTCAATAGGGCAGGAGGCCAGGTGGCACATCACACCACTGCCACCATGAGTGAGGCAGGTGGGGGAGGGGTGGAACTGACCCACATGCCCTGCACCCACTTACCGGTACTTCAGGCTTCCCCTGGCAAGCCATTCCTTGATCAGCAATCTTTCACTCCCCTCCCGAGCCAGACTGCCATGCTACGGCAGATGGGATGGGTGGGCTAGGCTTGGTCCCCCTCTGCTGTTTCGGAGCCAGGGGGAAGTGACAGTGAATGGCTCCGCTGCTGCTGTGTGCCGCTGGAGGGGTTTTCTTTAAGCTTTACCCTGCAGATCACCTGCCCGTGAGCAGCCGCCACCTCCTTCACGAGAAGTTGGAAGGTCTGACTGAACTTTTTTTAGTCCCACAAATTCCATTTCCCTGTAGCAGAATAGAAACACACCAGAGCTGGAAAGCAGGTTAGCAAAGAAATGCTTTCAGGAAGAGGGAGGAGCTGCGCCAGGAGGAGAAG